AAATGTTTATTTTTCAAGATAATTAAGGAATCCGGGATTTTTGTACATACAGCCTGTATATAAAATTCATGTATTTTTACAGTAGAATATATTATGAATGATATTATAATATTCGCAATATAATATTTTTAAACATAGTGAACGATACAGGTCAAAAACTTTTAACGATTTCAGACTAGTGTCTCTGAGACCGACTGTTGCTCGCTGACAAAACAGCAATAAAATGAGAAGAACAATAATAGACATGAATACCTACATATTTCAATTTCAAGCCAAAAGTACCTATTCTGGACAGCTCTGATTTATAAATACAAAAGTTTAGGAAATCTTTTCAGTAATGACATATGCTTTATTTTACTTATAAAAGAAATGTCCTTGTTGAAACTTAAACACTAAAGTTATTAAATTAATATTGACGTAAACCACCGCGTCTAACTGCTGGTTGCATCATCCTATTCGGCGGCGTTATTGATATATCAAGATAATCTCCTATTGTGAATCTGTAACACATACAAAACACGTACATGATAATATGTAAATGCTTATAAAAGAAAGAATCATCTGTTTCTAATTGAAATTTATATTACCTTGCCTGGGCTAGAGTTTTGTTATCGTCTGCGCCTTTCTGTCCAGAACACGTAACACCAATCTCACGCATGCGATAACCGGAATTGCGTAATTCAGGAGTCACTAATGAAAAATCAAAGTATGTTCCCTTGCTGCGAGCGTCCGGGTTCACTTCCTTAACCAAGCCAGTAATTTCTCGCAAAGTTGCATCCATCCTTCATACAGAGAAATAATTAAAATTAGAGATGACTTCTAATACACACATACATACACACACACACACACACACACACAAAGGCTAACCTATAATATGTTCTTTGCTTCCTATTTCTCTTTATCTATTGCTTTTTCCAATCTTCGCTATTATTATATCATTAATCATATGTATTTTGTTACATATCGCTTAATTTCTTCGAATTTCGTCAACTTTCACAGCAGATGACAGAAGGAAATGGGATAAGAGGGAAAAAGGCAGAAATAAAAAGTGGTAAAAATCTAGAAACAGGAAGCAATGAGCACATTGAAAATTAATCATGGAGTTGACATCAAACTATTAAGAATCATAATAAGATAGAATCTTATAGTCTCTCTTCCGTTACAAATAATGATAATATTACCATGTATATATCTGCAGCTCATTTGAAGGCACATTCCCTCTGCTATACTCCATTATATTATGATGACGTCCGGTGTTGCAAAATACTCGCAGTAGAAGCGGACACGTCTGAAATGCAAACAAGTGTAATATTATCGCATTTACGATTTAAAAAAAGCACTTAAATCCATGAGAAAAACATTTCTGAAAAACACTTGTTATCATCTTGCCTTTACCTTTTCTCTGTCTACCGGCTTCTCAGGAAGCTGTTTTTCGTCGACTACCATAGATTCCAAAGCCGATGCCATTTCAGTTAATCAGAAATAAGACCGATAAACTGTAAAAGAATCACTCTACTTCAATGGAAAATAATGAGAAACATCAAAATCGTGTGATTGTTTAGGAAAGATATGGCGGGGTCGTACAATTTCAGGGGTTATGTTTGGTTATGTTTGAAGAGGGTGAAAGGCCGTTTCCATGAGATCCTATTGACAGCGCGCGAGCATTCGAAATGATTGATAGCATAATGGAGATTTCCACGAAGGTCGGAGCGATTATTCGTCAGATCAACAGATGTATATACATATACGACGTAATGAGAACAAAATAATTTTATCAAGCAGATTTTACTGGAATCTCTCGAGCGAAATGAAGCGTGGATGATTCACAATTACGTCTGGTTCATGATTTATTTCTTATGATATGTCTGCAGTATATACATATATGTTATACATACATATATGTTGTTTTATTTGCGTATTCGCGAAGCTCGATTACTTTATGTGAAATGCACACGTCTTGAAAAATAAATGTTCTTAAAAAAAGTAAATTTGAGAGAATAAATTTTATATAAATTTTTATTATGTGCAAAAATAAAAAATGAGATTTTATATAAATTGTGATCGCTAGAAGGCTAGAAAAAAATACAAAAAATCAAACTAACGACGTTTGTGTAAGTTAAATATTTCATGTGTGGTTGACTTCGATATATCAAAACTTCCATTAACTTGATTGAAGATTCATTTGTCAAGAAGTATTTATAGTCAGATTGTATAATTTTACAGCAGATAGCCAGCAGAAATCAAGCAGAATCTATCGTTTCGTGATAAAAAAATATATATTATATTTATCTGATTAACGGTAGATTTTTATCGGTTTCTTCACTCATTTTTTGTAGTTTGACGCATAAAAAAAAATTAACGACGACGAATTATGTGTTTTCCTGGCGGAAAAAGAAATCAGAGTGTAAAGTCGAATATATAAGAGGACAAAAATATAAACGAAGCTTCTATAAAAGGTAAAAATTGAGACAACAAAGACGAATTAGACTTACCCTCCGATTTTTATTTTCGTCAAAGGTGTAGCTAGAAATTTCGCCGCATGCTGATTGTTATTAATTAATCACCGATTAAATTGCTCAAACTTTGGTCGAAGTCATCCAATGAGAACGGTTTTTATTTGCAATCGCGCTTCTGCGTCTATCCGAGCAGATTCATATGTTAGCAACTTTTCTACATTTTTATCTTTTATTTGCAAATTTCGCTTAAGAGTTGATTTGGAGAAACAAAAGGGAGAGCTTAATAGAACAGGAAGATTAGCGTAGAAGGCTATACAGCAGGCTCAATTTCTACAAATATACAAAGAGTATATCGCCGTCGCGTAGCATTATCTATACGAATGAGGGAGTCTTGTTTACGTTCTCCTTTCTTGGTTTGTACTTATCCCTAATCGCGACGAGTGACGTTAACGCATACATAATTAACGGAACGGTACATTGTCCCACCAATCCAATTGAAACGAAGGTTTATATTGACGTTCGCATTTAGCAATACATGAAAGTATTTCTAAATGAATATTTAAGCAGTTCAAATAAATATTTAAGCAGTGACGATGGTGGTAAACCTAATCGGATAGAAATATTCGGTCAATCGGACGATGAGGAGGGAGAGAATAGTTCGTGTCTTAATAAAGTCAGCATCGCGACCGAGGAGTCGCGCCAAGAGCAGTCATCGAAAAGATAACGACTATCGTAAGTCGTCGATTATACATTTATGTATACATGATATGCGTGTTTATATCTGTAGGGCTATAAAATTTAATAAACATACATCTAAAATTATTAATAATTGCTGAAATATTTGGAGCATATAAAGTCGAGAGAGCGAAACCAAGAATTATGTACTTTGTAATTATAAAATTATAATTAATTAAACCGAATAATAGAACGTTCGGGATAATCCTTCTAAAATAGGTTTTTACTGATAAGTATTCATCGAGAGATACTTTTTTAATTCAAGTCACGAAGCTTTGATTCAAAATTCCCTGATGAAAATAAAAATCGGAGTGTAAATCAAATGCACTACGAGAAAAAAATGGTTGCAATTATCATAATCTAATTATAATTTGTAGTTATTTTTTAAGACGACTGAATATTTATGATTATTATTTTAATCACGCAAATATAATCAATTGTACTTAATAATAATCACATAATATGTGCACTGCTTTAAAATCTTTAGGTTTTTCATAATATTCTTTTTAGCTGTTATATTATCATATAAATAGTAAGTACATTTAAGAAAATAGTTGTATTTACTACACAATTGCGATTGCATTTACTGAATAAAAATGATTATTTTACTTACCACATTTGTATCTTGATATATTTTACTATATTAATATTTGAAATTATTTTAAATAGTAAAATTTGTTCATGTTTGGGAAAACGTATATACATATACGATTATTATTATACTAATATTATATTATAGCAATAATAACTATAATATATAAAAATGGAATTCCTAACTCCATTATTTTATCAATGCAATTATATAGTCACAAACACTTTTCTCTCAGTGCATAAGAAGAAAATGAAGTTTTTAAGAGGCAAATTAAAATTGAGAGACAACGAAACACAAAAGAGGCAATTTACGTTCCTTTTATATTTCATTATCTCAATTTTTGCCTTCTAGAACAAGTTTTACTTATGCTTCTGTTGCTGCCTCTTTACATTCAACTAATAGCTTACATTCGATAGTTTCATCAAAGTATATAAACAATGTAAATAATACTATCAATCGTTTCTATCAATGTATATTAACTTTATTAATCTCGATTTAACTTAGCGTTTATCTTTTTCTAATTCTAAGAATTAAATAAAGATAAAGAATTGAACTAAGATTTAAAGTTATCATACGAGATCCAGTTCCACAACTCACGATTAACTCTTAACCGAGGTTCAACTTATTCATTGTCTCTTTCCAATTTTAAAATTGGAAAGAGATGAGAAACAAGTTGAACCTCGGTTAAGAGTTAACTGTGAGTTGTGAAACTGGATCTTGTATGATAACTTTAAATCTTAGTTCAATTCTTTATCTTTATTTAATTCTTAGAATTAGAAAAAGATAAACGCTAAGTTAAACCGAGATTAATAAAGTTAATATACATTGATAGAAACGATTGATAGTATTATTTACATTGTTTATATACTTTGATTTTTTTCTGGAGAAAGATACCAAGTTTTTTTTACTTCGATTTTTTGTATTTTTGCTATGGAGCTTTTCCAGCTAGTTTAACAGCTGACGGTGACACGTGCAGGCTTTCCTGAGATACGGTGCGGGTGGGTCGCGCGGGCGCGTAAAAATAGTTTAATTAATTAAAGTGGACATGCATCTTTATCGCGCAGCTTCTCGCGCTTTCTTTTCTAAGAGCACAGAGAGCACAGCGCGTCGCGTCGAAGGCATGCATGTTCACCCCCCCGAAGTCTCGAAAGGTCTGGGAAGCGTCTGCACTTCAGTCGACAGCATGCGTCGGCGACGTACGTTTTGGTCTCGAAATTGCGACACGCGGTAAGCGGCGGTCTCGCGTAAGCGCTGTGAATGAACTGTCGTCCGGATTGCCTGTGCTCGGATAACCTGGCGGACCTGGCGATCTTCCTCTCGCGCTCGTATGGCTGTGACCGCGAGAGATTCTACGCTGGTGAGCTAAGCATCGGTCTTGATCATGCGGAAAAACAATGCTCGTCCCGACTCCCGACCACGGAGCGGTGACAGTTCTCTGCCGAGAGGAATTCCCGTATCCTCAATCCTCATTTGATTAACGCTGAGATTTTTCAACAGTCTTGTGAACGCGAGTATTATTTTCGGACGTGATTCATAACATTATTTACATCTGCGTCTGATCGTAGCTCCATAGATATATGTATTGCTGCTGACGAAAGTGATAAATTTGCATGCATGCGCTATAACCTATTAAGTTTCATTCATAATTTGAGGAATATATACTGATATATGTAATGTTTAACGCATTGTCATAATGCTTATATTTTTGAGTCTGGTTCTTTATAAATATGTATTGGTAGAAATAATTTCTGTGATTTAATTAATTGTTTAATAATGTTGATAGGGTCTGACCATTTTGTGGAATGTATACTGAAATTACTTGGGAAAAATGGTAAGCAATTTACCACAAGAATTCAAGAGATATCAGAGGAACAGGAATCAGCTACGACATATACTTGAGGAAACACAACGTACGTTAGAAGTAATAAAATTTGAAAACTTTTTCCCTGGAGGTAATTGTCTATATTTGATGCTTAAATTGATAAATCCATTATGCTAATGAACCTTAGTTATATGATACTTATGGTAATGAATCTTAGATATATGATATTTATATGATATTTCTTGTAGAGAATATTATCGAGGAATTGCTGCCACCGTTGACCTTGGACAGAGTGACACACATCCTTGATAATTCCCCTGCAATAGTTATTTTTGGGCAAGACAATAAAGCCAAAGCTTCACTGGTCAATAATTTGCTTTCTGCTGATATTTTACCACTATCTAACGATTCATGGAGATGGGTCAAGATTACTTATGGTCGTACAAATCATGTCAGTCTCACATTAGGTTTAGAGTACGAAGTAGTCGAGACGTTAAAGGCAAACGAAAAGTCATGGAGCACACTTCCTCTCGAAGATCTGGAAAAGTCGATGAACGAAGATATCAATTGTCCTACAGTGCTCGAAGTGAAGTTAGATCAAGCAATCCTGAAAGAAGGTGTTCAAATATTTGTTGTCCCCAACAACGGTGTAGTAAAAATTCTTGCTAAAGGTCTATTGAAAATTTTACCTATTTTTCTTTATGCTCTTGGAGAACAACCGTTGACTGAGGAAAATTTGGAAGAATTGAGAGATTTGAAAGAGACTTATCCTTATAATCCAATTTTATTCATATCGTCATTAGCTAACGTTTTGCTGGATGGCACAGATGCAGAATTGACTGAATCTGAGCAGCATAGCCTGCAAAGTCGGATAGAAGTGTCGAGCATGTCTAAGGAGTCGAAAAGTGATGATAGTATTAATATTGACAAAATGAATTCACTCGGTCTAACGTGGCTAGATCAGTTAAGCAGTTTAGGATTCCTAGGAATGGAAGAGTCTGTGGAAGTTCATCAATTAACGTGGCTTGTCGGCGAGCAATACGTTAATAATTCAAGCGATCTAGTGGATTCATGCAAAAAAACGGACCGCGTTTTGCATTTTACGCGTGCCTGCTTGCAAAGCTATTTGATTAATGCAAGTACTTATTTGAATGAAATACACACGACCAGTCTACGTAAATTTATTTTAAGTGCATTTGACATGGCACGAAAAATACAGATCACTCCTAGAAGAATACAATACGCTCAACAAAAAGAAAACGAACTTTATGATAATCTAATGAAGGTTGTTAATGAGCAGCAAATGCAATTGACTGAATTAATACAATATATTATTCAGGAGATGAAAGACGATATATTAGGATCCACCGATGATATTTTCCAGTATCAGACTGCTCCATCCAATAATAGTGAACGAGCAGAGTGGACGGTTACTGTTCGCGTCGCGACATCGGAAGTTCAACGATTCGTGTTAGGTCGCTTGGGCGAAAAAGTCGCAAAGGAGCTCGTAAATTCGGTCAACTGTCTTCGGGAAACTTTTATTGGGACTCTTCAACGTTGTTTATTAAGTCTCGAAAAGACTTACGAACACGATAGCAGCCTGCTAGCTAGCGATGCCTTAAAGCAAATACTCTCCGCGGCATACAATGTGGAATTGCATAATTCGTCACCATCTTTAGTGCATTCATTCTTGGAAAGATTGAGACAGCTCTTCAGATCTTTACCGCTGCCATGGACCCCCACTCCGACTTTGAACGCGGCTTGGAGGAAGCAAATTACTGTCGATATCTTGAATTCTTTATCAGCAGCAAGATTGGCAAAGACAATTTCCACGCAATTCAAAGACAAACTAAAATCATCGCATGACGCTTTCCAGACTGCTTTGAAATCTTTAGAGAACTATTATTCAGGGAAGCTAGAAAGAACCGAGGAGCAAAGGATAGCTATACGAAAATATCACGCACCTAAGTTAGCTAAACTCGCATTGGAGTCTACGTCGATGATGGATGCGATTCGCTTTGGCATTCCTTATTACGGCAAAGAGATTGGCAGAGGACAGTATGGTGTAGTATTTGCTTGCGATGGTTGGGGCGGAGCACCGGGTCCATGCGCGGTAAAATCCGTTATTCCACCGGACGAGAGACATTGGAACGATCTCGCGATGGAAGTTTATTATACCAGGTCAATACCAGACCACAAAAGGATAGTGAAACTTCGCGGATCTGTTGTAGATCAATCGTACGGCGGAGGATTCGGATTGGGCACCGCAGTTCTCTTAATCACTGATCGGTTAAGTCGTGATTTATACTGTGGTATACACGCTGGTCTTTCATGGTTTGAACGTATACAAATAGCAATAGATGTGTTAGAAGGAATACGCTATCTTCACTCGCAAGGTCTGGTACATCGTGATATCAAACTAAAGAATGTCTTACTTGATATAGAAAACAGAGCTAAATTAACCGATCTCGGATTTTGTATTACCGAAGCTATGATGTCGGGCAGTATCGTAGGAACGCCGATCCACATGGCACCGGAACTCCTGTCTGGTCATTACGATAGTAGTGTCGATGTCTATGCCTTTGGCATCTTGTTTTGGTACATATGTGCTGGGAAGGTTCGATTACCATACGCATTTGAACAATTTCATAATAAGGAGCAATTATGGACAAACGTACGGAAAGGTAATATTTTATTACATATCAATTTCGTATTACATTTTACAATAAACAAAAATCATATTAAAATTTATATAATGCAGATCTCTTAAATTTAATTCAACAAAGAATGTATGTCATTATTCTTGAGCTGATGACAGTATTTACTGATTCAAGTTCCTATTTACCTTTTTTATTATTACGTACTCACGTACTCACGTTACATGAAGTGTTAAGCGAGTGTATTTACATTAGGACTTAGGCCTGAAAGATTGTCACATTTTGACGAGGAATGCTGGACGTTAATGGAACAATGTTGGTCTGCAGAACCGTCCAAACGACCATTGCTCGGTGCTATTCAACCTGTGTTAGAATCTATTCAGGAAAAAGCAGAAAGAGGCAAGTCCTTGCAACTAGACGCACTGAAACTACAAGAGAGTTCATCATCCAAACCAATAAATCCTGCATTAGCATTAGCAGAGCCTAATAATCAAAGAGGTGTTGTATTCAGTCCGCTTCCTCCTAGATGCAAGGTTTTTAGAGCTGTCAATCCTGTCGCAAGACCTTTTCACAAGACGAAATTTTTCCAAACGGGTATCTGCTCTAACATATTCGTTCAATTACGAGAATTTTAAATTGAGAAGATTGAAAATGTCGTGTTACTATTCTGTTATAGATAGCTTATTGATATATTTATTGCTTGGAATGCGCTTGATATATGGCTCATCATTATTATTTTCATGATTCGATGATATCCTAGTAGTATTTTATAACACAGTTTTTATATTAAAGTGACGAACTTTATGTCCGAATTCATTTTTTTATATATATCACATTTTTTATCTTTTATAAAATCACATAGAGAATACATATAATGTATGTGTAGCAGAATCGAATATAAAATAATTGGGCCGAAGTCATTCCAAATAGTACATCATTAATAAATATTCATCAGATTAGATTTTAAATATTTTATTAACCTTGTTATGGAAATATTACAAATTTTATAATAAATAATGTAGGCATTTGATAAACTTTATTGTTAGTTAACAAAACATAATATGTTAAATCTTTTTTTTTCTTTTTTATATAAAAACATATTTATTGCTACAAAGAATAGTATTGTTAAATTACTTCTTAATATTCCTAATTATGACTACATGATTTTGTTAAGCCGGGAAATATGAATGGTTAACCATGAATGTATATTGTTGAAGAATAAATAAAGTTTCTCACTTTTGTATTTGCTGTTGACACATACTCATTTTGTTTCTTATAAAACCTATCGCACCTATAAATGTATACATATGGATAATATGTGCATTCATTATTTCACGAATAGAAAGATTTTCGTATTTGATTAAGAAATTTATTTGTATATTGTTTTCAGATTATACATTCTTCGCAACCAAGCCTGCAAATTTGGGCGGATATTGATAATACAATTGTTTCAAGAAAATGTAACAATGAATTGTACATATTTCTTTTATTACTGGATAAGCATGAAGATATGAAGATTATGTGCAGAATGATTTATTAATCAAAAAGCGATAAATGTATAAAGTCTGTATATATTTTTCTAAAGAAAGGAAGAATAGCAATCTCTTAAGGTATAAGTTATTTAACTTTTCAATTCCGATCTTTTGATTAAATTTTAATCAAATATTTATAACGTAGTCATAATGTGATACATGTTTACAGTGAACATATTTGCCTATATTTTAAAAAAGCTATGTTATCAATTAGATACTTAGGTGATCATTATTTATTATATACATATATATTTATTATATATATATATATATTAACCGTCTGTAATATGTTGATCCATGACAATATATTAACTTCATTTCTACACCGTTTTAAAAAAGAGGCTTTGCAAAACTATTTATAACGATATTGGAACAATAATAATAAAAACTAGTGCAAATGTGATGAAGTTGACCAACTTTTTAATAAAAATTTTTGAAGTTCTTTTACCCATTTAATTATTTATCATATTTATTTAATTACTTGTCAAAAAATTATATATATAAACCTGAAACATATACAATATATAAAAATTGTACTAAACTGCAGCTGAGATGGAAATTAAAAAAAATATAAGGAATAAAATTGGATTGCACTTTACAATTATGATTCATAATTATAATGTTAGAATATAAAAAATTTTAAAATTATTTAATTTTGTTTTATAAAGAAAAATTCTCCTTCATTCTTTAAGCTCCAGTTTAGTTCAGCATTTAAACATACATGTTATACAAATTAAAATTTATAAGTAAAAATCCGAATATTTATAATTTCTTATTTAACTTAATATTTATTATAATTTCCTAATGATTATAAACTAAACCATCTCAGATAGCAAGCTGACATTATTTGTTGTCATTTTAATATCAAAATGATATCTTAAATGTTCTTTTGATGTTAAAATGATAACAAATAATATCAATTTATTATCTACGATATATGTAAGTTTTATATTAATTATTGAAACGAATAATATTAAGATTAGGATCTTGGTCAATGATATTCAAAATATTACTATCTTACTAGAAATAAATTAAATTTTTAAGATAATAAATATTTTTATTTTAAATAACAAAAATCATAAAAAAATATATATAACAAATTTTTTCAAAAACATTTGCTTAAGTTTTAAATGTAACACATCTTAATATAAGCAATATCTACATATAATGTCTTAATCTGCATATATTTGTTTACAACAATAAATCAAGATTATATTTTGCCTTTTCCAAATCATGTAGAAATTTGTAAAATTGTCCTATTGTCATTTCAGTAAACACATTCTTGACTATACCATCATCCTCAAGACATAACTTAAGTTGTAGAAATGACTTTGCAACATTGTCGCAATCATTACTTGCTGTAGTCACTAAAAGAATTAAAAAATAGCAGTTATTCATTAATAAGATTAACATTGTGAGAATATATAATCTATTATAAAATTACAATTTTGAAAATAACATTTATTTAATTTATATAAAATTATATCATATTATTTATTTATTATATTAATTATATTATTTTGTTTATTATTAATTGTTTATTATTGAAGTTGATCTGAATGTATAAGATTTACAATGGAAATACATACAATTTTTATATTACCGACGTATAACAGTTAAAAATAGAATATTTTTATTTCTTAATAGATCTAATAAAAATCTAATACAAATTCAGGTATTTGTATTTATAACACACTTATAGTCGTTCAGACATGAATAACCTAAGAATATAATATGACAAGCGATAATGGTTTCAGTTTATAATCCAAACTATTGTCTCACCTCCAAATCTCCACGATATGTCAAGTATTTTACTGATACCTCTCTCCATCTTTCATCAGAACTTCATGTGTTATCGTTTATCAATGGGTGCGTTCAGCAGAACGTTTGTTTTGCAACTGTTGTAAGTTTCCTTCGCGCTAATTGGATCATACTTTTAGATCTAGAAGAATGGTCCTATCTCAGCAGACAATCATAAAACGGTTGCAAAACTGTTGAGTCTGCTGAACGCAGCCATTTACAATTAATCACAAGTAATTATAATAGAGTGGACTTAAAGCCTTGTGTCCACGATGCTAGAAATTGGTCCGAGATCTCGGAGAGAGAAAGAATTAACCAATTACATTTAAACAATTTAGTCACATGATCAATGCGATTGGTCAATTCTTTCTTCATCCGAGATCATCCAATCGCATTGATCATGTGACTAAATTGTTTAAATGTGATTGGTTAATTCTTTCTCCTCCGAGATCTCGGACCAATTTCTAGCATCGTGGACACAAGGCTTAAAGCCCAGTGTCCACGATGCTAGAAATCCGTCCGAGATCTCGGATGAAGAAAGAATTGACCAATCGCATTGATCATGTGACTAAATTGTTTAAATGTGATTGGTTAATTCTTTCTCTCTCCGAGATCTCGGACCAATTTCTAGCATCGTGGACACAAGGCTTTAGAGAGTAAAGCCAATTAACCGGAAGTCGCCATTTTACGACAAATAATTCCTCATCCTAACCTTTTCTTTTTCTAACGTCGTCTTCCTCTAA